GGAACCGACTAACTCCCCTTTTGTGTATGTACAGTTCTCAACATGGCCAGACTTGTAGTGATTTTCACCTCTTTTAATACTTTTCACTTCATTCTGAAAGAAAGAGGTGAAATGTGCTAACGTGACGGCCATCTTGGTGTTGGTGACATATGCAAGACCAGAGTTCTAGTTCATTGAGCGCTTCACACAAAAAAAATGTGTTATTTCACAGTTAGTAGTAGTTAGTAGTTACTTTAGTTTTTTAATTTTTTTGACTTTATCTTTTAAATTGACAAACATCATATGTGTAATTCGTTGCACAATTCAAACGGGATCAAAAGATAATCTTTCTCTCTCCATTGACTTCAATACATACTTTTTCCGAAATAAGGTCCCATGGAGGTCCCCTGGAAGGGGAGGGACTCCGCCACTCTATTACTACCGACTATCCGGAGCCCGAAAAATGGTATTCGGGACAGCCCTAGTTAACACGCTACACTAAGATAGTGAAATACAACATTTTAGCATTTAGCTCAGAGCCATGCCCACGCATAGTGTCACAGAGTCGCTAGCATGGCTGTTGTCTCTTGGCATTTTCACCTGATTAATCTTAAACCAGTAGGAGTTTATGTATTGATAACATTTTCTTCCGCCATTTAATCCCAATATCTCCTTCTGATCATGATATAATACATTGAGAAACGTTTTACCAGATTGCTCTCTAAATCGAGGAAATAAATATATTACAAGAAATCAAATGTCCTCAAACATGAGTTAAATCAACAAATAGCTGATAACGTTTTTACTAACCAGGGTTCCCGCGGGGTTTTAAAAAGTCTTAAAAAGTCTTAAATTTGATAATCTGAATTTAAGGCCTTAAAAAGGTCTTAAATATGACCAAAAAAATAAGAAAGGTCTTAAATATGATTTAGAAGGTCTTAAAAATGATGGGATTTGAAAGGTACTTCTGTGTAGCGATCGCGTCTAAATCGACTCCTGTCTGACTGCAATAAAAACCTGGATGGCACGCAACTTCCTCAAACTCAACAACAATAAAACTGAACTCCTCCTCAGCGGCTCCAAAAACACACTGCAACAAGTCTTTCAAAGGCAACAATTGGTCAATNATTTTGAAGAAATAAATGATGGCACTCAGCATATGTCAGGCTTTTGTAGACAAAGGATACCTACCTATGCTGAGATATCAAAGTCTCTGCAGAGCATGACACATGACCAAAAGACTGAGACCAAGTGACCTTTGACCCCGACTGACAGTGTTACTTGACAAAAGCAGTGTCAATGACTGACTATGGGGTGTACCTTACCAAACCTGACTTGACAACTAGGCAGTATGAGTGTGAATGTATGACATCAGAAAAACATGATGAGCTACGGAGGCAGAAGAGGAATTTGTATGATGGGACGAAATGGAAGCCTTGGGGATTTGACTGACTCAATAGGGGATCCAGGCGAGGGGGGTAGGAATTCCTGTTATTCTTTCCTGACTTATCTTGCTAGACAGACAAGTTCGGGAAATTCCTCCATTCTGGCAATACAGGGTCCCCCTGTGTCATGGTCTGAGCTATTTTCGCTTAGATCCACTCCATCAGTGTGTCTGCCAGAGATTTTGGCAGGTGTACATTATTATTCTAGTTTTGATTGGGACTCTGAGAATCTGATGCAGGAGCGACACAGGTGCTCAATGGAAACTCGGAGCTTTTGGAAAATCAGAAAAATGCAAGTGGACAGTGAAATTCTAAACTGTATTTTGTAGTATTGTTCGAATTTACAACCCCAGCGTGATCCTGAAAATTACTATGTTATCAGAACCAGTAGAAGCTCCTATAACTCATTCAAATGCATCAACCTTTCCTTGTGTATGTAACAATGGCACGGGCCAAGTGTTAGGTTTTTCAAGCTGTATTCGACCATTAGGTGGTTTGTCAATGAAAGGTCGAAATGGCAAATAATAGAAGATAATATTACGAATGTAATAACAGCTTTGGAGAAGATTCGGGATTCGCTGGCCTCCCAGAAAGATGTTTTAATGTAAATCTGCTTTGATGTCTCTCTTATAAAGAGAGTTTTACTCAGAACAGTATGTGCTCTTTGGAGGAGACGTCATACTTGCAAGTATAAGATCCTTATTGCTTTTAATACGAATATTGTGTTGCTGTAAGTTTGTTACCTTACTGATTATTCTCTCTGGACCACAGCTGATTTTAAAGCTGCCACGACACTTCTATTGGCTAGCGCTCCAACACATTGTACGTTATAGGCTATGGAGCTGGACATCTCTAAGTGGTTGACCAATCACAACAGAGCCAGCCAGCTAACCAATCATAGCAGACTGGGCCCTGGTCTCAGACTTAAAAGGCAGAAAATATAAATATGAACCTGTAAACGAGCACAATAGGGCTCCTTAAAAAAAAAAAAACTTTACGGCTGCTTTATCTTCAAATATAAAGCAGGGCCCATTACTCACTCGCACTCGACTGTTTTGTCCTTGACCGCCTCCTCCCCCTCCTCTATCAGCTCCTCCAGCAGCTTCAGTCTGGCCTCCCTCTGCTCGGGTGCCTCTTGGCCAAAAAGCTTGTTGGTCATGCCTTTGAAGGAGAACGTCCGAACAATCTAAAGAAAACGGAATCACAGAGATTTAGTTGGGAAGATCTCCTCAACAGTCTCACCTTGGTTATGACAGAATCAACCATCACGGCCTAACAATAGCAGACAGGAACACATCAGGTTTATGACAGTAACGATGGGAGTTGAGTGTACCCCTGTAGAGAGCTCCTCATGCTGCTGCTTCTTGGATATCAGGTCCTGTGTGGCCATCTCGAGCTCAAACTGGGTCAGCTCATGTTTCCTGCACACTGCCCTGCCAAAGCAAAGTGTACGATATAACATCACATTTCATGAAGCTCCTGTGCTCAAGTACAAGCCTTGACATAGTAGAGAAAGACCAATATCTAGTGAACAAAGATGTGATTAGGGTTGAGTCCAGGAATATATATATTAATAGTCACGGACATTACGTAAGATTATCATTTTGAGTTATTGTACTATGGTCCTGTTCTTCAGACATGAGGGGAGACCACATGTCTGGAACAATGGTTATATAATCATACTATGTGCTATCTGTAGCTAGTGTTTTAAGCATGCCCTTACAAAGCTTGAAAATAGTGTCTGTGCTGAGGTGAAGTTCATAGAGGGGTCATTCATAAGTGTGTTTATTAACATAACTCCTAATATAACACCTACATTTCTTTCCATAAAAATGCGAAGGATAATGTAGAAATGATTATTCCCTCCAATATGGTGCATTCTATCGCAACTGGAACATTGGTCAGATATTCTGAGATACTGGTTCAGCTAATATTGGGTCTTACCTCAGAGCTTCAGCATAGAAGAGATATTCTTTCAGTTGGTCCGCGTAATGTTCCTCTTCTTCTAAGATATCATCTATTGAGGCAGCATATCTACAGGGGGGTGAAAAACACTGAATGTCTAATCTAACAACACAGAGGGTAGAGGCAGCATCAACCTCACAGTGTAAAACGCATCTGAAATGATGTTTGTCCAGGAATTATATATAAACATATGGTATAATAACAGAGAAAGAGTGGCTATCTGTAAGGCAGAGAAGATTGACTCACGCATCCATATGATGACCGGCACTCTGCAGCCCATCCCCCATCTCTCTCTCTATGGCGCTCCACTCACTGCAGTCAAAACATGGACGCACACATAAGTTAGCAAACTGCCAGGGAGAGTCTGTCACACTTGGCTGCAAAATATATTCAATATAATACATTTTTGTTAAGACTATTATGATGGTCACATTTAAGTCACAGCAAAGATTGGTTGTTATATGCCGGTTGTCAAACCTGAAGACCCTCCCATAGTTCCCGTGGACCTTGTAGACGCCGTAGAGTCGATCTGCAACCCTCTAGAAAAGACAAAGACAATATTAAAGTTCAGTCAATTCAAAGTAAACATTGAATATTCCTGAATGAAACTCAGAGAGAGAGAGAAAGAAAGTTAGAGAGACTCACAGCTCGTGCCCGGAGCAGCTGAGATGTGTGAGACTGCAGGTCATCACTGTAGTGTTTCATGTCCATGAAGCGTCTAAGTGAGACAAAAGGAAGACACGTGTACAGAGGACAGGGATTACAATCATTTGCCTACTTATTTTAAAGTGTTTGCATTTATTCATCATTTTTAAACATTAATACAATTATTAAAAATAATATTTTGATTGTGAATTTTTTTTTTATCCAAACATGGTAACCGTTACAGGACTTTTATTTTATTTTTTTACAAAAAAGCCAAATATTAGATGGCTGTAGGTTCTCAAATGTGAAAATGTGTTGGTTTTAAGACATTTTATGGTGTAATTCTGTGCTCAAGTTCTATGGACCAAATGATTAATTAATTGATAAAGAACATTATTATGAATAATACAAAGATTATAATAATTCAAAACATAATAAAACAATTGCTCTGGCTGATCATACGGATACTATGATCAACTACTATAATACTGTACCTATAAACAGTTAGCTGTTATCTAGTTATCCCCACTTTTAAAGTATAACTGAATGATTTTGACATGAATTAAAACATTTCATCCAAATTGAGAACTTATTACTTTTTGTTGAGAAAACACTCACTTACTTATCTGGGTTTCTCACCCTGAAGGTGGCGCTGAGAGCTTTCAGCCTGGAATCCGCCTGAATAGGAGAAACAAGAAGTGGTCAAGCTTTGTAAACACTGAACATCTTTATAAGTAAATTGTCTGTGAGAATAGAGATTCCTCAAGATACCTTTGCCTGAAACCCCGTCTCATACACCACTTCCTTCCAGCCATGTTCCTGCACACACAGCGGTGAAAAACAACATTCAATCAGCTGCAGATCTGTTATCATTCACCACTGACCCACAGCTGCAGCATGTACCTCGGTGAGGAAGTGGTGGAGGATCTTGTCGTTGGAGAGGACCGGATGTGATGCCACACGCAGCAGGAAGTTCTCCAGCCCTACCCGACGGCGCTCCACAAAGTCTGGGTCCATGTTGTCTGCCGACAGCTTGTGCCACACGAACTCTGCCTGCATGAAGGAGAACAAAGAGACAGTTCATGTTTTACTTGATGATATTGCTGTTTAGCTGGATTATTCGTCTTGGATTTGCATCGTATGTTTGGTGAATAATACGCACAGTTACACACCTCTCTGCACTTTAAGCCATAGAGATGAATAAAACATGTTTAAATCTCCTTAAAAAACTGGTAAGCCCTAAAGATAAGCTAGTGATGCTCCAATCAATTGACCAAGTAGTCTGGTGTTAGTTTTTGTATTGATCACTGACATTTTATGTTGTGCATTCTGAAAATTGCCAAATGTTTGTCCCTTTTCCCATGGAGTAAACAACAATCATAAAAACACACAAAGGAACCTACAAGTAAAGAAACATTCTGTAAATACATGTTCCTATTAGTAGTCGTTAGGGCTGCTCAATTAATCGTATTTTAATCGCGATTACGATTATGGCTTGCAACGATTACGAAAATAACGTAATCAAAATAAAACAATAATTTTTGTATTTATTTTTTTTGTTTTTTTGTTTTTTTTTTGTTTTTCAGTTGAATTATACTTAAAGTTCAGGGTAATCAACTGTTAAAAACATACTGTTCACATTTATTTTCTCCAATAAATGGATGTTTTCAAAGTCAATGAATAATCGCATTTAATAATCGCAATTACAATTATTGACCCAAATAATGGAGATTATGATTTTTGCCATAATCGAGCAGCCCTAGTAGTCGTGATCTTTTACATTTAAATGGAGCATTCTATAATTTATCTTTAATGTCGATTCCTTGTTCTCTCCTATTTATTACCTCTATGGCAGATATTTGAATAATACATGGAGCAAAAAAATCCAGCTCCCTAACTGTTCCAAAAATGACTAGAAGTAAGCCAGAAGCCATTGGTGATTTGTCAACTTACTTCCTATTATAATACATGCTTTAAGAAAGACATAAAGCAAGGCTGCAATCCTCGAAAGCAGATGCTGAACTCACCCTCTTCTCGGGCAGAGGAGGGACCACGATGTATGGAAAGGTTACTAACAGGTAGTTCCGCAGCAGCTCAAATTCACTGTATCTCCTCCACAGAGAGTCGGGGGCTGGGTTACGACCTTCAGCGAGAGCATCCATTGGCCTGTGAGGATTCCATTAACAATTTTGTTTAGTATTTTGAGAAGTAAATGTATGCACAACAGAGCTCAAACAACAGGAAGTACAAGTCATCTCAGCTTGACCAACAGCACTTCCTTTTAAATGAGGCGGTCGTTTTTATAATTCTCACCGTGTTTCAATAAGGTAGACGGTAAACGTCTCCTGCATGTTCACTGCATTTTTCCCACTCCTTTTCTCAGACTCGGCAACACAGATCTCCATCCTGCACAGGAGAGTGGGGCTCTCTTCCACCATCTGAAGCATCACAGTCAGCACCATTATCACCATGTGGAAACACTTCTGCTTCCTCTTGCTTTAAAGCTACTGTAAGCTAACAGCTGTCAATCTAAACCACAATATATTGACGTTATTTATTAAGCAAATTATAGTAGCATGAAAATAACAACACTTGAAGGGTCATACAGTAAATGACCTCAATTCAAATTTCAAATGTAAAGGTGTTATTGTCATATGCACAGTAGCTACAGTGCAGATATGGCAATGAAAAAGTCCCAAGCTCCTCCAACAATGCAACATGAATATATATAGGACGTAACACAAATGTAAAGATACAAATAAAGTTAAAATAGAAGTAGAAAAGATTAGAATAAAAGAGTGCACATTATGTTGCAAGACCAGTGTGCAAGTAATGCAGATTAAAATAAATAAATAAATACAATAAGCTTAATAATGCAGAGACTGTAAATGTAGTTATCTATATACATGTAAATAGAATAAGATAGACAATAACAGAATGTCAAATTAAATATTGTACAGTAAAATAAAAATACTGTTTATTGTAGTAATAGATATTAGGATAAAAAATGCGAATGCTGCAAACAGGTTGTGATGAACGCGAAGGTATTAGCTAACGATGTTCNCCTCTACCTCGAGCCCCACATCCGCCAAGTTGTTAAAATCTCATTTTTCCACCTCCGCAATATTGCCAAACTCCGTTCCTTTCTCACCCGCCCTGCAGCTGAGCGACTCATTCGCACCATCATCTCCTCCCGCCTCGACTATTGTAATTCATGCATCAGCTACACCTCCCTCAGTAGACTCCAGCATGTTCAGAACGCAGCCGCCAGACTCCTGGAGCTTTGGGGACAGAGCCTTCTCTGTGGCAGCCCCGAAGCTCTGGAACTCCCTCTCCCAAGACCTCCGAGTCCCTCACCCTGTTCCAGTCCCGCCTCAAGACTCATTTCTTCAACTCTGTATATCCACAAGCCCTCCCTCCCCCTCTCCACCAACTTCATAATAGGTTGATAATAAGGCCTAATAAGCATAATAAGGCCCCTATAAAAGTGAGTAAGGGCAGAAAGAAATTTTCTGAAGACAACATGGTGGATAAAATCCTTTTTTAAATAACCAATTTCAATCATTTCTACAGTCCTCGAGACGCTTTATTCCCGAGATAAGTTACTCAGCAGTTGGTTTATCACAGTTTTAATGTCACGTAGAGATGTCAAACATGGAGCTGCTGAGAGGTGAAAGTCAACCTTTCTAGAAGAATTTGAAGTGAACATCCAACAAGGACCAAAGCACACACTGATATCTGCGGTTCTCTTTTCTGTTGTGTTTTCATGAGACAATGTGCTGGGCCATGACTCGCCTCAAACGTAGCTTTTGTCACGCATTTTTTTCTGAAGTTGCACAGATAGGCATGACTTCTTGTGACTGTTTACATCCCAGATTGGTGAGAGGCAGCCTTTGTTTTTCCCTGCCACACAGCCGCTCCTTTCAGTATCTGAGCGAGTCACACAGCTCCTCTCACAGCTGACCCCATGTACTTGTAATGCAGCCCCATTAATGAGACACGTAAAATGTCCTTTATGGGAAACAACGACAGTAAAACAGCTTACACTGTGCCCACTGTTGTTTTACTTGGTTGAACAACAAATTGGATAACTAGCGACCTCGCCCGTCCTCTGTCAGAAATCTTTCCACAGAGCTGTTGGGCAAAAATAGCTGCTTTACTTGATCTAAATAGGCATCGGCCACAGGCTCGTCTCTTCACGCACCTCTTCATCTCTAGATTCTGCCATTCTGAACACATTACGTCATGTCTCGATGCTTGACGTGCAACGTGACTCACAGTTATGGTCAAAAACAAAGACTGCATCAGGACAGGGAAAAATGACAGTGGAAGTGTGTTTGTGTATTGACGGAAACAACATGCTAAAATGAAAATTCCAATGCAACAGGCTCGTATTTGTGGACTTAAGAAGATGCCTTCTTCTATAGAAGCAGGGCTTATTCAGAGACAACAGATGCTCCTGGTTTCCTGTGGAGTGGGATGAAACCAGAGCTTTTGTTACTGAAGATGCCTCAGTGCTGAGCTGCAGTGTGTTTCTTAAGTGTGAATAAAATGTAAATTTCTTGCACCAACCATGGTGAGGTTTAATTTTAGACCAATCACTGGCTCACCATGTGCATATACCCCTGCAGCTGCTAATGCATATATTTTATTCTCTTTCTGTCCTTCTAGTTCACTGTCACTCTCTCCTACTATCAATCTATATTATTTTTGAGTTGTAGGCATTCTAGCCATATCTCCCTTTAAGCTTGCACTATTTTTTACTGTTTACAGCAAGCCCGTCAAGCTCCAGAAAAAGCACTTCACAGTTCTTTGCAATCCTGCAGCTAACTAAGCAGATCAACACCTCCGCTGTTTACAAAACGAGTCCTGATCCAGGCAGTCTGCCACACTGGCGTGACCTGCAATTAAACACAGACGCAGTGGATTATATTTCATAACAGGAAAAGCATGGAAACACAGTTATGTCGTATTGCCTCTAAATAGCAACTCAAACGCAATCATCCACAATCCACAGCCCCAGTTTCTATTGTCCCACTGAAAGTAATCATCCTGCCAAGGTTTTCATTTGGATGCTGAATAATTGATTCGGCACACGCCCACAGTTTGTGCAGCCATTGCGTTCCTTCACATCACAAATCCTACCCAAGATTTCATAGTGCATAGGGTTATTTGATGCACTAGCTGGGTAGAGTCGACAGAATCTATAACTATTCTAATAACTCAGAGATGACGCCACAATATTGAATGAACGGTAATAAATCTGGATATGACTACTATTGGTTCTATTTTGAGAAAATACACAAAAGAATATTGAGAAAGTAGCCCAAGCACAGTTAGACCCAATTCTGACAGATTGCATGATAATTAGACATAATATTAACTTCAGTCACCCTGAAGTGAGTAGAAACAGGCGGCAGCATGATTAGCTATTCACTAACAAGCAGCAATATTATATTAATAATGCCCGAAGAACAAATGTAAAGCCATAGAAACCAATTCCAATTATATGCTTCGAAAACCTGATTCAGAAATAATTGGAAGTTCTATTTTAAGCTCCCGCACCAAATATAATAATAGCTTTTTTATAGGATACAAGTCTTTTTTTAAGAGGCCCTGTTATGTCTTTTGGGGTTTTCCCTTTCCTGTAGTGGGTTTTATAGGTTTGTGTGCATGTTAATGGTCTGCAAATGCTAACATCCCAATCATCAATATGTAACACATCGTGCTAATAATGGCTAGTGCTCCTATGCACGTTCTTTTTCTGCGGATTATACATGATCAGAGCAGATAGCTAGGTCCCTTGTCTATTAGTCATATGGCCACACAGCCCCCAGATCTTTAACAGTAAAACAATAATCTATGAGTCAAAAGCCTTACAAATGTGCACTGAAAATGTTCAAACATTTATATATATTTAAACAACAGGAACGTACAGAAGGATTGGTCGTATCTCAGCTCATTTGACAACATCCGTAGTAAATCCATATATTTGTAAGACCATCCCAGCAGTATCGTCCTCACTACAGTGATATCTGCACCTGAAGCAGCTCTGATTACCCCTCCCCTCTCACTTTCTGCCAGGCAGTCCTGAGCCCCAGAAATAGCAGCACTCGTGTATGACTCATGTTGGAGCTATCCGAGATGCCTGATGAGAAAGACAATAACAAAGGGATTCATTAGTCTTGTGCATCACCACCTTCAAAAGAAAACCGTTTAAGTGAGACATCTGAGGCCACTGGTTCAACATATGTCCAACATAAATCCTTCACCTAAACTCAAGTACCTCCTCCGATCAAATCCGACCTTGGCCCCCACACCCTACACCTCTAACCAACTGTCTTGTACATTGTTTTTCAAGACCCCTCGCACATGCTCCTTGTTTTCAGCCCTTCAAAGACCAGGATCTCAATATCTTCTCCCTTCCCATGAGTCCCCTTCCAGTCTCTGTCATCTCCCATCCTATCTTTTGCTTCTGGCTTTCATCTAGTTGCTTCGATATTCCATCCACCCTCTTGCCTTCATCTCCATACATTCTCCCAGCCTCGCCCAGCCCCCCAACTTCTTCATTCACCTTCCTCCATCGTCATCTGTCAACATCCACCCTGTTTAAGTTATCCTCTGTCCCCCACAAAGCCCATTATTTCCCATATTTATTTTACTCTCAGATTAAAATATGAATGCTATGACTTCCTAGATTCTCCCAACTATCTATCCTGGATCTTTGTTCTTCGCCCCTTCTCCTGCCTTCGTTCCCTTTTTAAGTCCTTCCTTCAAAAGTAGTTAATTCTGAGTTTCTTGATGCCTAAACAATTAGAGCTACCACTCCAACTCCACATCTCCACCCTCTACTACCCAATACTACTTTCCCCCATTAGCCAACTAACACATAGAACTGAACCCTCCATTCGCCCCCCCTTTCCTGTTTCTCAGTTAGTAGCTTTAGCACCCCCCCGCATCCCAATTGAATCCGTCCTCCTCCTCTCGGGCTGGCTTCCAGAGCGACTTTGCCCTGATGGAGGTCAGCCTTGTCTCTGTCTACCGTGAGAGACAACAGGGGAAGGAAGGCAAGGTGAACGGCTCTCAACGGCTGTCATTGCGCTGTAAGGATGAAGCAGGGGGAGAGAGAGGAGGACTGTGTGATGTAGGGAGAGCGAGGGCAGCAGGGTAGGAGCAGAGCGAGAGAGAGGGGGAGAGCAAGGGAGAGAGAAATTGGTCCGGCGCACACAGCTCACATCGCTGGCTGGCTGGCTGGCTCGCACACTGTTGACGAATGAGCTGTCTACCCACGGGGCTGGGAAACGGCAGCTTGTGACAAGCTGGGGAGAGAGGAACATGAATGTAATGCGTACCTTGCCTCGCTTGCTTTCAGATACCGGCCAGAAGAAGACTCCAGAGAAGAAGGATGGGAGGCGCATGTCGTTCCAGAGACCCAAAGGGTCCATTGAATATTCTGTGAGTACGGCGCAAGCCACTAAGCTGTTTCTGTGTAATTGTCTTCATGTGTTTTCAATGCTTTTCTGCTACTGTGCTGCTGCTGCTGCTTCTGTGTCAGCTGCTGCTGCTGGTGTTTCTCTAGCTCCAGTAATAGTCTAGCTGTTGTTGTTGTGAAGACACCGTGTCCGACCATGCTTGGAAGCTCATTAGCGAGGGGGAGAAGCATTTTGTGGATTTTGCCAGTCTAACACGTGTACCTCTTCCTCCTAGTGTTTACATGAAGAGGACCCTGTGTTTGTATGCATGCAAGGTAGTTCATAGAAAGCTTATGGAAATAATGCATCCTCTCTTCAAGAGACACTGTGCATTAGTATAAGACTCAGCTCCATTTAGCATGTTAACGTATAAGAAGGAGAGAGGAACTGTAGCAGCGCCATATGTTTCCTCACGCTGGATCAGATCAGGAAAGACAGGCAGGAGTGCTGGCACAACGTGTGTTTGTTTGCCTTTCCTTCTCTGAGCCACGTATCGGAGAGCATTCCACCACAGTGCTCGCCGTGCTCGAGAATGACCTTCCAACTGCATTGTCATTTCTATTGATTTAGCTGTTGTGTTGGAGAAGGGGGGAACTGGGGTGAGGCGATTGAGAGGGAGAGAGAGAACGAGAGATAGGGCACTGGTTCCCTAGCGGGAGCTGAAAATGGAGCCTGTCTCTGCTTCGCCTGGTTGTGTTCTTCAAATGACCCTCAAATCCAGCTGCAGCAGTCAGACTGCTTTCCTTCGCCTCTCTCTCCGTGGCAACAGTGGGGAGTGGGATTGCTGTGGCTCATCTCTGTCTGTCTGTCTGTCTCTCTGTCAGTCTGTCTGTCTGTCTGCTGGAAAGAGAGGTGAAGGGAGAGGACAGAGGAAGGGACAGCAGTGACATTCCCCTCCTTTTATCCCAAACTCCAGGAAATACTGAAGGCTTCTCTGTTATTGCCTCAGCAACATAGACATCACCTCCACGTCCCCCGCCCCCCCAAACTGTCAGTCATCCCAGACCTGCTGATTGACAAGGTTCTTGTTTACCTGACCTGGGCTTGAGCAACCAAAACCGCTACCACAGGACATTTGTCAGAGCCAAAGCACTGTGTCATGGCCTTGATATGACCTGATACAGCAAAAAGTCAGTAGGATGGACAGAAACGCTGAAGTTTAGGAAAAATAGGGAAGAATTTTATTGTTAAAAATGGGCAAAAGATTCACATCTCAATCACACAGCATCCCATACTGTTCCTGTCAGCCATCATTCTTCCTTGCTCTTTCCTCCACTAGTTTGCTGCTAGTGTGATGGATGGATGGAGCACTGCCAATGATTGTCTCCTGTAGCCTGACATGCTGCAGCAACACGTAGCGAGGAGGCTTGAGACGCATGGTCGCCACTGTCCCAGTGATTGAGAAGTGGCTTTATCTTAAACTCATCTCCCATGACAGGGGACGGCCGGCGATGTTTCGTTATTTCTCTCTCCAGCAGTTTTAATCTATCGCCCAGCACCCACAGGAAAAAAAATGCTTTACTTCTAACGCTGCCTTATCAATACAATCTCCCTCCCCCCTTCTCACCCCTCTACCACACACTCAGGCTTCTTTCTCTCTCCCTTTTTTTTCTCAAGAATGAAAAATAACCTGAGCAGCTGCAACCCATCTGCCTAGACACTGATAACTCAGTCCATTCAGCAGAGTCCAGCTATTGGCTGACCTGCATCCAATTAAAGAAGTGTTTGAAGACTGGGAACAACGGAGATAGATGAGGAGACAGAAAGATGCAGACAGAGAGAGCCAAAGAGCGGCACAGAGGTGAGCCACGTCCTCCCACTGACAGACTGAGAGGACGGACAATCAAAGTCAAACTAAATGAAGAACTGAGAGTGAAGGCCACACAGGTTTGTCTACAAACCAGGGACAGAGACACTTCAGTTGTAACTCTGGGGATCCACAGGGTGTTTTGAGAAGATACCTTTCAAGGGAATATCCGGCCTATTAAAACTTGTGTTTCTGTACGGCTTCTGTAGGACATTATTCTTTTCTGTTTCATAGCTTGGGCTATCATTTTGGTAAGTCTTATTTAAGGCCTGATCTTAGTGGCCCTGGGATCCGAAGACACTGACCATATAATGTCAGAATCCCCAGCCATCTCTCTACTGCTTGCTATATCACAAGGCATCTACTCTATACCCACGAGTAACACAGTCAGTTTGTTTTTATATCCAATGGCCAAAACCAGAAAGATGACCTCTACATCGAAAAAATTGAATTGTTCCTATATGTTATTTCTAGGGCTGACGTGATAATAATAATAGATGACATTTGTATAGCGCCTTTCAAAGGACCCAAGGCCGCTTTATATGGTGAACAAACAAACAAAAGGGACAAATAATAAAGTTAAACATTTATTAAATAGCAGTAGGATAACGTAATAATAACGTATTCTTTTAATTATTACATTGAATAATAATTTAATCAAGATTAAAAAAATGTATGCTTCATTAAAAAGCAATATTAAAAATGCAAATAAAGAAAATACGGTAGATCAACAAATTGGTTTCCTTTTAAGCAAAGCCTTTTTATCTTAGTAAAGTTGTGTCAATTTGTGTCAAAACTTAACACATTTAGTGCCATTTGACATTCCAGACTTTTCAAGGCTTCAGACTGCCATTTCACAAATGTCCCGATGTCAACCATAAAAAAGCCTCATGCAGAGAGTTATGTCTCGATGGTTTTTAAAAAATCGAATTTGTCAGGGAATTATTTCAGCCCTGTTTGAGTCATGTTTAATTTTTGGCTCGACCCTCCCTACCCACAGTCTGTTTTCAGTCCTTTCCAGTGCTCTCAGCAGAACTGGCACAGCAAAGCTCTCATTACAATTTGTATAGTCAAACAAGAGTGCCGATTTAGGGGAAAGTCTGGATTCCTGTTGAAGGCCTGAAAGAAAGGAAGAGGTTGTCAGCATTCATGATGTTATCATTCTGGCCCACAACATTATCAGTCAGATTGCATTATCAACTATGTGTGTTCTCGCAAGTTGCGGTAAAACAGTGGCCATGGCACTCAGTCAATTGCCGTAAACTGCGTATTCACTATGACAACATGTAGGTTGGGATATCAACCACCAGATTCATGGCGATTACATTTTTTAAAGCCATTCATGATGTCCAGAGGATGAACCCTAATGACTTTGGGAATCCACTGACCTCCTGTAGCGCCATCAGCAGGTCAAGGCTGTCACTTTTCTTGTGTTATGTCTAATTTCCTACCGGATAGATCTGTTTACACATTCATGGTTCCCAGAGGATGAATCTTGAAGACTTTAGTGAGCCCCATTGACAGTTATTTTTAGCAAAACCCTCAAGATGGCATTTGTTTTCTTTTATGTCAATTACATTTAAATGGATCGGATAATTTGGTACAGAGATCAAAACATTCATTAGGATGAATTGTAATAAATGACTGCTGATAATGTCTCATGAAGTGCCATCATCACAACACATTACTGTATGATGCAAAACCAAGGGTATTACCGCCAGCTTTATTTTTATGATAATCAGCAAATGTTGGTGAACATGCAAACCTACTTAATACCAGAATGTTAGCATTGTCATTTCAAGCATGTTGGCATACTAAAATAATAAATTGCCTCCCAAGATAGCTGTGCCCAAGAACAACCTCACAGCACGGCTAAAACCCCCTGTGTGTGATATACACATGATCCGGATGTGTCATAATCTCAGCAGATGTGAAGACGATCTCTCACTGCAGGTTAAATGGATATCTGCTGTGCTTAGAGGAAAACTGTTGGCAACAAAGGCCTTGCATGGACATTAGATGAGTCATATGTCGAGTGCCAGGTGTGTGTGTTCACAGAGAGAGAGACACGCACCTTTTAACTCCACAGCCTCCTGACAATCAGTCACTCTTGATTGCATTATTCACTGCTGGGTGGGAGTGGAGATCCCACAGTCTCAGCTCCTTCACAGCTCCCTGTCTGAGAGTAGGAGAACTAGTCAAATGGATGATGGAGAAATGATAGGATCAGAGGGGTGTGTGGATGGTGACGCTAAAAGGGATAGATTGGGGGAGGGGGGGGGGTAGAGGGGAGTGTGTGAGGAGAAGATGGAGAAGATGGAGACGGATGGAGAGTGGGTAGCTGGATGGGCACAAGAGCAGACTAATATATGGAGCCTGTGATTCTTTTTTTAAATTAACCAAAGGGGAAAGCCACAGATATAATACATTGTGTCTTTTCATATTGAAGAATTTATCGCTGGCCATAGGCAGTATATGACTCGCTTCATTCCTACACGTTGTGTTAACAAGCGAGAAGACTTCCAAGCATACCTACCTTTGAAACAACCATATTTTTAAAACATAATACTCTACAACCTCCTTTTGCCCAAGGGTCCCTTAACCAAGGGCAGGGTCAGTAGACTTCTCATTTTGAGTTTCTATAAGCAAGGCAAAAAAAATACTTGGCTCTTCATTATTTTTGACAAAAGAACAATAGGTATACCGTACTAGTAATTTAGTTATCAACACTTAAAGAGCACATATTGTGTCGTTCATGTTTGTTGTGCTTCTACTGTGACATGTTTCCATGCTTTGATGTTAAAAAAGGCATTTTTCTCATACTGCCTGTGCTGCAGCACCTCTTTTCACCTTCTGTCTGAAACCAGAGCCCAGTTCGCTCCGATTGTTTTGCTGGCTCTGTTGTGATTGGCCAGACGCTTACAGATGTGTTGGAAATGTCCCGCCCCTAAGCCTATCAAGCGCATGTATTTGTTGGAGCACTAGCCAATAGAAGTGTGAGTGTTCAATAGTGATGTCATTATGTAACTTTATGGTTATGTAGATTCAGATAAAGTTTAGGTTTACTGAAATATTTGTTGGTGGTACACCAATAAGCCTTGAAGAAAGAAGAGTACTTGACTTGGGCACAAGAGAGTGGGTTCAAGTGAACGCAACAATCACAGTGTGTGGAGTGT